TGGGGCCCACCCGCCTGTCCACCCTCTGGCTGCTGTAACCTAAACTCTGACCAAGGAAGCGATGGACAGAGAGGCCCAGGCACCCCCAGAGAGTGCCTGACTGGGTGGGGGCCGGGGGGCCAGGAGGGCAGTGATTTCAGAGTGAGGGAGAGCAGCAGGAGGGTCCCCTGGAAAGGGCGAGCCAGGTACCCTAGCCTCTGCACGTCCTATTTTCAGAGGTCACAGGAAGTGTCCTGTGGTCAGAGAGCGAGAGAACGTATGTGTCCCTCGGACCCAGGACTCCAGGGCAGGGACCGTGGGGGGCATTTGCATCCCTGCCGTTAGCCGCTGGCTCAGGAACATTCTCCCAGAGGGGCCCACCCTTTCCAGCTCCGGTCACTTACACGGGAGCCCCATCCTCCCAGCCCTGACGTCTCAGAGCCCCTGGGTCCCTGGGGTGGCCCCAGCGACCTGGCCGGTGGCCTGGGTTCTGGAGTCTCCTGCGTCTGGGACGGGAAGCACTGGGCCAACAGCACTCCGAAAGGACCGTGCAAAGAGGACTGTGCGCTGTCAGTCTCGCTGCTTTCATCTCACACCTGTGAGGTGGGGCTATCAAACCCATCCGCTGGTGGGGCTATCAAACCCACAGGGTCAGCAGAGGGGTGCCTTCGGGCAGCCGCCCTCTGTGCCCACCCTGAGCCCGCCCTGGGGTACACAAGTGCCCCGGGCCAGTGACCCTGCCCCTAGAAGTCTCCAAGCCTGTAACTGGGATCAGAGATAGGGGTGCTGCCGAAACCGGTTTGGCTCAGTGGTAGAGCATCAGTCTGCGGACTGAAAGATCCCAGGTTCGATTCCGGTCAAGGGCATGTACATTGGTTGCGGGCACATCCCGGTAGGGGATGTGCAAGAGGCAGCTGGTCGATGTTTCTCTCTCATCGACATTCCCTCTCCCCTCCTATCTGTAAAAAATCAATAAAATATATTTTTAAAAAGAGAGAGAGAGAGAGAGAGAGAGGGAGAGAGGGAGAGAGGGAGAGAGGGAGAGGGGGGGGTGCTCAGACAGAGGCCAAGTTTGACTTGGGGGACCAGCCAAGCTCCCCCATATCCTCCCAATCCCATCTGTGTGGAGGCTTTGATGGTGACAGAGAACAGGCAGGCAGGGGGTGCTCCCATTGCAGGGAGGTGCTGGGAAAACGGGGGTGCCCTTTGAGGAAGAATCCTCATGGAGCAGTCATCCTCTGAAGAATCAGAGAATTAGATGTAGAAAGTAAAGAGGACACAGTTCATCAGAGGCAAACCTTTTCCGGCCCTGTTACCCAGGGCAACCTGCCCACACACACACACAAAAAAAAATGATAGGAGAAATCACAAACCAGAGGAAGAAGTGCAAAATGCCAACCCACTCAGAGCCAGGGAGCGAAATGTAAAGGCCAGCAAACGGGGCAACTGGTCGCCACAAATAGGACAAGGAGGTGTTAACAAGCCCATTACGGAGGGATGGTGTTTTGTCTTATTCCCCCTCCTCAGCTCCCCCCTCCCCCCCGGGGATATTTTTCCATTGACTTTTAGAAAGAGTGGGAGAGAGAGGGAAAGAGAGAAATATCGATGTGAGAGAAATTCATCAATTGGTTACCTCCTGCACGAGCCCCAACCAGGGAAAGGGACAGGAAAGGGAAAGGGCCTGGGCCTGCAACCGAGGTACATGCCCATGACCGGAATCAAACCCGGGACCCTTCGGTCCCCAAGCCAACACACTCTATCCACTGAGCCAAACTGGCTAGGGCTACAGAACGATGTTTTAAAGTCACTGAAACCTTAATACGAAATTATAAAAGAACACAAAGCCATAATTTGTGTTGGGATAGGATGGATAATAAACATATAAAACGTGTCATTCAGACTAGTATTAGAAAAAAGACCAGTTCAGCCAGGAGCATTTGAAAGATCTTCCACCTCAATAGATGGTGCCAGTGGTGCCAGGGGCACACGCGGCCTCACACCAATCACGGTGGCTCTCTGGAGAGCCATCCCGTCTCTCAAGAGAGATCGGACCCCTCGGCTGCGATGAACTCAGCGGCCACTTCTTGGAATCCGTGCAGAGGAAATCAGCAGAGATGCAGACAAAGACTCTTATAAGCAGAAGGTCATTTTCGTTTTACTTCAAATGGTAAAAAAACAAATTATTTTAAAAGTTTTTTCCCCTCTCAGGAATTTTGAATGGAGACTTTGGAGCCAAATGTCTATTTAAAAATAGAACAGAGTCCTGGAAATAACAGTTGTGTCTACAAATGAAATGTCTGCAGCTTCCACATCAGCCCCTTTCCAGCCCCAGCCACACACACCGTAAGAAGTCAGCAGCAGGGAGCTGAATGAATAAAAGATGAGGCTCCTATGAGTTGAAATATTTTGCAGCCATTAAAAATGAAGTTTATGAAGAATTTTTAATGACATGGGAAAGTGCTTATGATGTGATGTTAGATGAAAAACGAAGCAGGGGCCAAAACCGGTTTGGCTCAATGGATAGAGCGTCGGCTTGGGGACTGAAGAGTCCCGGGTTCGATTCCGGACAAGGGCATATACCTTGGTTACAGGCATATCCCCAGTAGGGGGTGTGCAAGAGGTAGCTGATCGATGATTCTCTCTCATCGATGTTTCTATCTCTCTCCCTTCCTCTCTGTACAAAATCAATAAAATATTAAAAAATAAAAAAAAAGAAAGAAAGAAAGAAAGAAAGAAAGAAAGAAAGAAAGAAAGAAAGAAAGAAAGAAAGAAAGAAAGAAAGAAAAAAAGAAAAACAAAGCAGGGTACAAATACACACACACACACTAGTGGCCTGGTGCACAAAATTCGTGCACAGGGCAAGTGTCCCTCAGCCTGGCCTGCACCCTCTCTAATCTGGGACCCCTTGGGGGATGTCCAACTGCCAGGTTAGGCCCGGTCTCTGTGGGATTGGGCCTAAACCGGCAGCCGGACATCCTCACAATCCGGGACCGCTGGCCCCTAACCACTCACCTGCCTGCCTACCTGATCTCCCTTAACCACTCTGCCTGCCGAGCTGCTCTCCCCCAGCTGCCTCCCCACCAGCCTGCTCGCCCCCAACTGTCCCCCTGCTGGCCTGCTCGCCCCCAACTGCCCCCCCACCAGCCTGCTCGCCCCCAACTGTCCCCCTGCTGGCCTGATCACCCCCAACTGCCATGGACTGCTGGCCTGCTCGCCCCCAACTGCCCCCCCACCAGCCTGCTCGCCCCCAACTGTCCCCCTGCTGGCCTGATCACCCCCAACTGCCATGGACTGCTGGCCTGCTCACCCCCAACTACCCCCCCACCAGCCTGCTCGCCCCCAACTGCCCCCCCACCAGCCTGCTCGCCCCCAACTGTCCCCCTGCTGGCCTGATCACCCCCAACTGCCATGGACTGCTGGCCTGATCACCCCCAACTGCCCCCCCACCAGCCTGCTCGCCCCCAACTGCCCCCCCACCAGCCTGCTCGCCCCCAACTGTCCCCCTGCTGGCCTGATCACCCCCAACTGCCCCCCCACCAGCCTGCTCGCCCCCAACTGTCCCCCTGCTGGCCTGCTCACCCCCAACTACCCCCCCACCAGCCTGCTCGCCCCCAACTGTCCCCCTGCTGGCCTGATCACCCCCAACTGCCCCCCCACCAGCCTGCTCACCCCCAACTGCCCCCCCACCAGCCTGCTCGCCCCCAACTGTCCCCCTGCTGGCCTGATCACCCCCAACTGCCATGGACTGCTGGCCTGCTCACCCCCAACTACCCCCCCACCAGCCTGCTCGCCCCCAACTGTCCCCCTGCTGGCCTGCTCACCCCCAACTGCCCCCCCACCAGCCTGCTCGCCCCCAACTGGCCCCCCTGCTGGCCCCCCACTGGCCTCCTGTCACCACAACTGCCCTCCCCTCCTCACCTGATCACCCCTAACCGCCTCTTCCTCAGCCCCACCACCATGGCTTTGTCTGGAAGGTCTCCCGGTCTAATTAGCATATTATCCTTTTATTAGTATATATTGGAATCTCTGCAACTTTTTAAATGTGCATACCCACAGGAAAAGGATCAGATGAGAAAACACCAAGTAGTAACAGTGTTTATCTCTGACTGGTGGGATTATGGGTATTTTCTTCTTTTTATTTATTTAATTAATTTTTATTAAATTATTATATGTGTACATATCTTACCATTGCCCCCCCCCACTCCCATACATGCCCTCCCTCCCCAGAGTTTTGTGTCCATTGGTTGTACTTATATGCATGCATACAAGTTCTTCGGTTGATCTCTTAACTCCCCCAGATCTCCCTACCCTCCCCACCGTAATTTACAGTCTGCTTGTTGCTTTACTGACTCTGTATCTATCTTTTGGTTCATCCGTTTATAATGTTCTTTGTTATCCATAAATGAGTGAGGTTATGTGGTGTTTCTCTTTCATTGACTGGCTTATTTCTCTCAGCATGATGTTCTCCAATTCCATCCAGGTTGCTGCAAATGATAAGAACTCCTTTTTTTTCATGGCAGCATAGTATTCCATTGTGGAGATGTACCATAGATTTCTGATCCAATCATCTGCTGACGGGCACCTAGGCTGTTTCCAGATCCTAGCTATTGTAGATTGTGCTGCTATGAACTTCTTCTTTCTTATATCTTATGTTCTTACAATTCTCTATAAAAATCCTTAATTACTTTCAGGGGGAAATACATATCTCTCCACCCTTGCTCCCCACCCCAAAATCACAGGGGTCTCTGCACAGCAGGAACACAAGCAGGATAAGAAACAGAGAGGGAAGCCAGGGTGGCCAGAGCAGAGCGGGGAGGTGCAGGCAAAATGGAGTTGGTGCCAGACCTCCTGGAGCCTCAAATGCCAGCCCCAGCGGCGTGAACGTCACCCAGAGCCCACCTTCTGCCCAGGTCCACAGGAGGGCGCCTGCCCCTTCTGGAAGGCTAGGGGGCTTCTCGGGGAGACCAGCGTGCGGTGAGCGGCTCCGGGTACCAACCTCCTGCCTTTTCCTGCTCCCCCAGGGAAGAGTTTCACCCTGACCATCACCGTGTTCACCAACCCCACCCAAGTGGCCACCTACCACCGAGCCATCAAGGTGACTGTGGACGGACCCCGAGAGCCCAGACGTAAGTGCCAGAGCCACCGAGTCCCCCAGGCGGGGGGGAGGGAGGGTCCCCAGGGAGAAGGGCAGCCGCTGAGGTCAGGCAGAGGGCGCTGGGTTCTGGGAGCACTCCTGGGGGGCGGGGAGCGTGGTCCTCTGCCCTGCACCCCCGCACACTGCGTGCCTGCTGGCAAAGCCGCCAGCCCTCCGTGCTTGGCCTGGACTTCAGGAGGCTGGTGAGGAGGCTGGGACCGGGAGACGGCAGGATCAGTGTGGGATGACCGCGGTTGGGAGCCTGCTGGGGAGTATGGACTTGCATCCTTAAGGAAAGGAAGAGGCTGGAAAAGGCGAGAGGGAAGGGGGAGGAGGGAGAGAGAGAGAGAGAGAATATATGTGTGTGTTCGGAGCTCCAGTGTGCTCCGCTCGACCCCAGCTCCCTCCGCCAGTGGCTGAAGGAGGCCGGTCCCCTCCCTGGAAACTCTTTTTTTGAATCTAAGTATGTGACTTCCTCAAGGCGCCCAGAGGCCGGGCATGCTGACCCCAGGGCCCAGGGTCAAGATCAGGTATGCAAATGTGATTCTGCAGGTATTTACTGAGCACCTGCTGTGGGTAGGGACCCCTTGTTCATGCATTTTAGCATCAAAGAGAGTTCGTGTTTCGTTGCTTCTGCCTGCCGAAGGACCTGGGGTTTGCAGGTGCGGATTAGGGAATTGGAAGGGCAGCTGCCACAGAGTGGGCCAGAGGCCTGTGGTCACTGGGTGAAAGAGTGAGGAATGAATGAATGAATGAATGAATGAACGAACGGATGGATGAATGAATGAATGAATGAATGAAACAGAGAACCAGCTGGCCATCTCTGGACCGGCTGCTCCTGGGCTCTGAGCAGAGCTCTTGTCTGGACTGCCCCTCACGCGCACTCGCCGGTGCGTTGAGAGCTGCCCTGTCCTTGTCTGTCTGTGTAGTTGTGGCCTCTCTCGCATTTACTGTCTCACGTGAGATCCTCGTGACAGCAGAGCCACAGGGTCACCCAGTCCCAGTGAGGAGAGGATCCAGGCCTGGGGACATGGAGGTCCTGGCTGGGGCCTCACACTGTCTTGGCTCCAGGAGGGCACCCGGGTCGCAGAGACCGCCGCTGGCCCCGCGCAGGAGGGAGTAAGCCTGGGGCAGGAGGACACGCTCCCGGAGGCCCACACCGGGAGAGCGGCTACCGGGGCGAGGCCAGCGAGGGCGCCCGGGCCTGGCCCCGAGCGTGGGTGCCCTCGCTGGGAATCAGGCCCGGGCGTCCAGGGAAGGCTCAGAGCTGCCCTGGAGAGCCCTCTCCAGCCTCTCCAGACCGCCTCCTGCGGCCTCCCCTGAGCTGTCGCACACGGTCACCAGGCCCAGAGGCAGGCCGCTCCCAGCAGGCACTGGTCTGGTCAGGTTCCTGCTGGGATTGGACATGGATGCGCCTGTGGCCCTGGCCTTAGGCTTCAGAGCTCCCACATCATGTCTCCGTTCTGGCCTTGGCATCTCCAGGTGATAGAGGCGGGCACGGCCTAGTGTGTCCCCGGCCATGGTGCAGGCAGCAGAGTCCACGCCAGTGTGCCTGGCGGGGGGGGGGGGGGGGGCGGGGGCCTGGGCAGGTGGCAGACCTCTCTGGGCATCAGCTGCCTCCTCCAGGAATCGGGACAATGCCCCCCTCCCTGCAGGCCTGGAGGTCAGTGCCCACGGTAGATAGCCTCTGGCTGCAGAGCAGGAGGCTCCTTGTGAGTTATGGATTGTGTTCTGTTACCTCTGGCGCTGGGCCGTCTCCCTGGGCGAGGGTGGCTGCTGAGACCCCTGGGCCATAGTAACAAAGGTCTAAGCTTCTGTTGAGGGAGGTGATACTCTCTTGGGAGACTCCTGGGGCAGAATCGGGATGGATGGAGCCACAGTTGGGCTCAGTGTGACTGATGCGGCACAAAGCAGTGAGCACCCAGTGTGGAGAGGCGTGTGAGCCGGGCCTCAGCGCCTGGGAGGAAGGGTCCCAGGGGCCGGGCAGCACCTGGAATCCCCGTGAGCCCTCCGTGGGCAGCCGCCCAGCCCAGAGCTGCCCACCGGCCCCCACCGAGGCCCCTGGATGAGGGTGGAGAGGTGGTCTCCCCCTGCCTGACGGTCTCCTAGGGTACCACACCTGAGACAGCCCCTTGGCGCGAGCTGGTGGAGGCGTGGGTGGCCCAGGAAGAGGCAGCAGGAAGGGAAGCCAGGCCCGGGAGGATGCTGGAGTCAGAGGCCAGGCTTGCTGCGTGACCTGAGGCAGGTGGAGCCCCTCCCCGGGCCCTGGCACAGGCCAGATCAGTGGTTTTAAAGGGACTTGTTCAAATAAAGCCTCAGCAAAAGCTCGTTGATAGGGAGGAGCTGCCGTGGGCACGGGGGGCGGGCGGGCAGTTGTCCAGGGCTTCTCCCTGAGGACCTGCAGGCCTCCTCCCCTGCCCTGGCCCTGGCCCTGGCCCTGGCCCAGCCCTCAGGTCAGGTCTCCCCAGCACCCTGGCTTCCAGTCCCAGCCTGGCCTTCCGCCTGTGACCTTCTGGGCCTCAGTTTCCCACTGCTGGTCATCCAGCCCTCCCGAGTGCCAGGTCCTGTGCACAGCCTCGGTTCACTGGCCCCGGGAAGAGACAGGCCAAGGGGCAAAGCCACCTCCTCAAGGGTGGCCTCGGTGCACCCAGGGCTCCAGCCTGGGGCTCGGGCTAGCAAGCCGCTAGTAAGGGCCTCTCCCCTTGGCGTGTTCCTCTGTAAAATGGGGACGGCGTACATCTCCTCCGGGGAGTTCTTGTGGCATTAACCACACTTGCAGCTGCCCTCCTGCGGGGAGTGCTCCGGAGCCCTCCTGGCTTATGTCAGGGTTTTCTTTCTGGGCCTTTCTCCTGCGTGTGACCCCGTGGGAGGGCCGAGCCTCTTGAGGCGTGGGATGGGAGCCGGAGCGGGTCCAGGGAGCCAAGGATGGCGCCTGCAGCTCTGAGGCCGCTGTGGGTTCTGTGGCCAGGTCGTTCCCCTCCAGTGCCCTGCAGAGTGTGCCCCGTCTGCAGCCAGGTGGCCGGCGGGGGCTGAAGGCTGGCTGGTGGCTTCCTGCCTGTGTGGCCTCGGTTTCTGAGGTTCTCGATCCTGGTGTCCCTCACGGTCACGGGGGGGCTTGTCACAAAGCAGGTGGCTGAGCGGGTCCAGGATCTGGGCGGGAGGCGGGACAGGCCTGGGGACTCCGCCGTGGACCAGTTTGGGGATTGAGCACTCCACGTCCTCCAGGCTTAGCAGGTGCTGGTCCCTGAGGGGTCGGCCCAGGTTCCCGATCCTGCCCGAGGCCGGGAGGACAGCCCTGGCCCTTCCCCAAAATGAGGGCCCTTCCCCAAAATGTACATGGGAGGATTTCAACAAATGTTTTCCTAGGCACCTACATGAGGCAGGCACTGTTCTAGAAGCTAGACGCTCTGTGAACCCCAACAAAAGCTAGACGCTCTGTGAACCCCATCTCTCACACACAGGGCTGGGGAGAGATGGTAAACAGTTCTGTTATCACCATGGCAACAAGGCCCCACCTGACCTGTGCCCATCACTCCTCTGACTTCCTCTCACACGCCTTCCTCCTCACCTAACCACGCCGGCCCCCTGGCCGGTCTTTGAAGTGGGCAGTCACACCCCTGCCTCGGAGCCTTTGCACGTCTACCTGGAATGCCCCTGCCACCCCCGGGCACCCCCGGATTCATGGCTCACTCCGTCCCTCCCTGAAGTCTCTGCAAACTTGGCCGTGAGCCCCTCGCTGACACCCCGCTTCACATCACAGGCACAGCAACACCCCAACCCCTTCTCCCTCCGGCTTTCACGTGACCTCTAGCCCCTTCTAAGGTGCCGTGACGTTCACGCATTTCTTTTCTTTCTTTCTCGTCTCCCCACTCGTGCCTGCGTCCCACGGGGCGAGGATGTTTCCTCTGTCTTGTCAGGCGCTGGAACAGACCCTGGAATGCAGACAGGAACACTCAGTAGGTGCTCGAGAAATACTATAGAGTCAGTGAAGTAAACAAGTGATTAGCTGATTTAGTGTCAGGTCACATAAAGTCCTGTGAAGAAAGGAAAATCTGGAGTGAGCAGGCAGCACGTAGGGGCTGAGACATGGCAGGGGTGGGGGACAGGGGAACCTCCTGAAGGGGTGACATTTGATCAGCGGCCAAAGGAGGTGAGCAGCCCCTGTGGCTGCTGGAGCCTCCCGGCGGCAGGGCCAGGGGCAGGAAAAGCACCCGCGGCTAAGCTGCCAGGTTTGCCCTCTATTGCAGGGGGGTGGGGGGGAGGCGGAGAGACACCCCCGTGGAGGAGAGCCAACTGCTTCGCCCCCCCCCCCCACAATCCCCAGGGGAGTGTGCCCCGCGGGAGGGAAGGGGTTAACCTTAGACCTCCCCGGCTCCCTAATCAAGCCCAGGCCGCTGGGAAGCCGGCTGCAGGCCTGGGAAGGAGAAGCTGCCTCCCTGCCCATTGGCCCCCCGCCAGCCACCGGCCGGCTTTCATCTGCTCACAGGGGGCCGATTCACGGCAGACCACCCGGGGCCCAGCACCCGCCCCTGCTTCCATGCGGTTGTTAAGAGTCGGGTGTAAATCTCCTGACAGGCCGCAGAGCGGGCCCAGGGCCTGGGGGCCCCACCCTTCAGCTGGGCAGACAGTGGCTGCTGTGTCTGGGCTGTGGCCTCCCCAGAGCCTGGCCAGGCAGCCGAGTGGCTGCATCTGGGTGCCCACATGGTTCCCCACAGATGACCCCGTTCCCGTGGCCCTGCCCAGCGCCTCCGCTCCCTGCCCTCCGGCTGCGGTGGCCTCCGGGCCCCGCCCCGCTGCCGAGACAGGACGCGGAGCTGGCCTCTCGCCAGCCACACCTCGGTGCCAGGCGGCCCAGCTCGCGCCTCTCGGAGGTCTTGGGAGGCCAAGACCTCAGCAGCCAAGTTCCATGCAGTGTGCTGACCTTTCTGGGTTTGGCCATGACCACGTGCCTCCACGTTCCCGTCTGCAAAATGGGGTGACTGTAGCAGTCTCGAATAGCAGCATCGCCCGCTTGGAGACGCTGCAGGGGCTGTCAGTGGTTTGAGCCCAGTGGCGAGCCAGGTCCTGGGCGCCAAGGTGCTCCCTGCTCCCCACCCCACCCCCCAAGTGCTCTGCTTCTCAGTCCTGGGCTCTGCCCTCAGCTCCTCTTCACTCTCAGGAGTTGACCATATGATGGCCATTTTATAGGTGTGGAAACGGAGTCCCAGAGGAGGAGAGGGACTAGGCAGGATAGAGCGGGGCGCGACTGGAGTCGGCCTTTCTGCACTGAGCTCCAGAGCAGGCGGGGCTCCTGAGAGAGGCCCTGAGGCTGTCACCTTCTCCCCACGCCCACGCTCCCGGGCCTGCCGAGAACCCTCTGGCTGAGCCCGGGCTGGGCCCTAACACTGCGCCTGGAGCCCCTGGAGCCCCTGGTGTCACAGCCCAGGCCCCTCTCCTGCAGGAAGGGCCCTGGGAAGGAAGGAGAGGTGCTTCCCGGGACCTGACCGTGTCCCTGACCCCCTCCAGGCCGTGTCTCCCCTTAACGAGGACAGGGGTAGGCCTCCCAGGGGGGACGGTGCAGCATGGCTGCTCTGGCCTCCGCTGCCGGCTGCTGCTTCCGGCCGGCAGAGGGGCTGGGCTCCGTGCCGGGAGGAGGGGCTTCTGGAGGAGGACTCCAGGGCCGAGCCCCACGGACAGGAGAGCATTCCTGGCCGGGCCGGGCCGGGCCTGAGCCGTGGCTCTGCATTGGAGGCAGAGAAGAAACCCTGGCCGGGCAGCAGCAGGAGGTGGTGGTGGGGGGGCCCGGGAGCGGGCAGCCCTGCCTTCTCCGTGCTGGGGTCCCCGTCTGGCCAGCGGCTGGTGCCTGCAGCCTGAAGCCAGAGACGGCCGGGCCAGCGGGGCCCGTGAGCAGCCTGGGCAGGGGAAACGGAGGCACCGCGAGAGATCCCACATGAAAGAGGTCTGTTCTGCGGCGGCCGCATCGCCTTCCCTGGGGCACAGGAAGTTCCTTCTGCTCCGACATGAAGGCCGGCCCCTGGCGCTGAGACTCTCTGGCACCCTGGCCGCCTCGGCTCCCCGTGGCCCCTCCCTGCAGCCTCCACAGCAACAAGGAAGCCATTCCCAGCGTGCTGCTGACGCCCCCTCCTCCAGGAAGTCTGCCCGGTGTGACGGCAGGACCCGCGTGGTGGGAACACGTGCTCAGGGGGGGGGCAGAGGGCCCGGTTGTATCCCAGACCACGCCCTGAGCATAGGTCTCGCCTTGAGGTCTCAGCGGCCCCGTCTGTACAATGGGAGCAACAAGGAACGTGTCAAGAGAAAGAGCACCTGGAGTTCTTGGGTTCTGGATGGCAGTGCTGGCTCTGCTGTCCCGGCTTTGTGTCCCAGACACAGGGGGTCCCGGTCTGGCGTGTGGGTGATCGCCCCGCCTCCCTGGAGTGAGCGGGGTGGGGACCCGAGTGGGTGGAGCACGCTCCCAGAACGTGTCCGGCCAGTGCCACAGCCTCTGAGGGTGCCATGACGGGGACCCTGCGGCTTGGGGTGGGGGGAAGGGAGTGTGGCTTTCGCCAGGCTGCAAGCAGCAGGGCCCAGCCTCGAACCCCGGCCGGCTGTGCGCCCCGCCCTCCTCCTGCTGGGCCACAGAGTGACTGCAAACACCTGGGCCGCGGGCGTGACTCAGAAGCAGGCCTGATGCACCGTGAGGATCGTAACGGGGCCTGAGGTTTTGCACCAGCTTCTGTGCAGCCCCGTGGGCTCAGGCCAAGCGAGACCCCCGGGCCCTTAGCGCCCACTGCTGTCGGCCAGCCTGCGGCCCCCAGGGCCCCGCCGCTGCCTGCCTTGAGAGGCTCTGAGTCCCCCCGTCCTCCCGTGTCCACTTCGCGGCTGCAGTCTTCGGAGCCTCCCCCCAGGCGGAGGCCCAGCCAACTGGCCAGATAACGAAGCCTGAACCTGAAGCATGCACACCGGCAGCCCCTGGGCAGGACACCGCCTACAAAGTGATGCATTTGGCGCTTTTTTTTTTTTTCTTTTCAGTATTTGAACTAATTGGCCAACATATAAAATATGGGAGATTCCATATAAAAACAGGTTTATGGTTTTGGATGCTCTGGCAACACTGAGCTCATATATCTCCTCCCCCTCTCCCCAACCTCCCCCCTAACCACACACACACACCCTCGTCAGAGCACCGGTTAGCTGTACTCGATGGTGACGACCCCCTTACGAGCCACATCCCCTCTGGTCTGCCCCAGTCCCCACCCACCCCATGTGCCTCCGTTACTTGACTTGCCTGCCCCCATAGGCAGCCCCCATAGGTCCTAGTGCCGCTGAGCTCACCCGAACCCATAATGTCCCCGTTGTTACCAAGGAGGCAGCAGGGGCCCTGCCGGGAGGCCTCGTGGCTTCATTCCAGCTGCCTTGTGTCCCCCGGGCTCCGGGCCTGGGGCCTCGGAGGAGGAGGAAGTGGGTCCCTGGCTCTCGGCGTCTCGCTGAGCCCGGCGTGGCTCCCAGGACTCCTGCTCCGTGTCTGAGGGCTCGGAGGCCCGTGTGAGCGTGCGGCGGGTGTGTAGAGAGCGTGGGGTCTGGGCTCCGGGACCCATCGCATCCCCATTTTGGAAGCCAGAAGTGCAGCCCATTGCTGGGCCTCTGACTCTCCCCTCCTTCCCAGTGGCGGCGACACTTTCCCCCAAAGATGCCGCTTTCCAGGCCTCGGGAAGGACGACGAGGATTCTGTTTTAACTCCCACCCGCTTCTCTCTCCTTCTCTGCCTGTCCGTCTAGAGAGTTCCGCGCATCACGGAGACCTGAGACCTCAGGCAGGCCTTGCCCTCTTCCTGGGATCCTCCCCGCATTCTTTCACAGGAGTTTCGGGTGGGGCCTCCTTCCCCCGTCCTCGCCCTGGGACCTCGGAGCCACCGTTTCTCTTGCCTGTAAAAGCGGGGAGGGCACCAGCCTGCCTGGGCCCCACCGTGGGGTAGCTGGAGCAGGTGGGCAGCCTCCTTCGCGTGAGCAGCGAGCTCAGGATGCTCAGCCCCCTGCCTGACACCCCCAGAGCTCGGAGTGAACGGGGATGTGCGGGGACAATGCGGGGAACTGGGGACCAGCCTGAGCGGCCCCCTGAGCAGATGGGCTGAGTGACCGCGGTGCCCGGGAGTGTGAGGGCGGAGCCAGGGACCCCGGCACAGCGGGCTGGCCTCCCGCCGCCTCGTGGGGAGTCTGCTGTCTCCTTGGGCGGGCTTGGCCTCGCCTGTGGCGGGTGGGAGAACGGAGGCGGCTCCAGGAAGGCAGGTGACGGACGGACACCGCCAGGCTGAGCCCCTTCGGGAACGTCCGTGCGTGCGGAACGGGGGCTGGAATGAAAGACCCACACGGGGCTTCGGGGCCGGGGCTCCGGGCAGCTCCCGGGAGCCGCAGCCCTGTTTGCTGAGCGTTATTTCTGTAGATGTTCGCGGGCTGCTTGTGAAATGGAAAGCGAGTCATTGAAGAGGGGTGTGTGCATGTGTGTGTGTGCATGTGCGTGTGTGTGTGGTCATGTGGTCCCTCGAGCTCCACGTCTTCCGAGGACCCTGAGGGAGGCTCTGCTGGCTGCACAGAGCAGAGCGTGGCCACGCTGGGCCTGGAGCAGAGACTGGGCCCTCCGGTACTGGCCGGGCCACGGCAGGAGGGAGCCACGGCAGGAGGGGGTCACAGGAAGTGGTGGCCACGGCAGGAGGCGGCCACAGCAGGTGGTGGCCACGGCAGGGGGCAGCCACGGCAGGAGGGAGCCACGGCGGGTGGTGGCCACGACGGGGTGGCCACGGGAGAAGGTGGCCACAGCTGAAGTGCCGGGAAACGCCGGCAGCTCCTCCAGGTGCACTGGCCCGGCCCCCACCTTCCAGTCAGCGGGGAGGCCAGCCCTCGGCGAAGCACCGCGGCCTTTGCTCCTTGTCCTGGCGACCATTTCCTTCTGTCTGAGGCCCTGACAGGAGGCCTGTGGGTCCGAGTGACTCGGGGCGGGATGGAGTGACGGTCTCATCCCAGGGCCGCCTCCAGGGTGGGGTGGGCCTGGGACGCTGGGGGGCAGAAGATGGCAGCACTCCGGGGTTCTCTCCCGACCCGCCATGGGCACCTGCTAGAGTCACTTGCCCATGCCTGTGGCCTCAGTTTCCCCTTCTGCCGAGCAGTGTGCTGTGGAGGGTCGGGTATGAGAGTGGGCAGCCCGGCTCAGGAAGGCAGGGGTGAGGCCAGGGTGGCCCCGGGCCGTTTCTGTCAGAAAGTCTGAGAACCTGAGGCAGAGGGGGCTTGTGACTGAGGGTCTCCGTGCAGAAGCCCGAGCTTCGGCCTCGGGGCGAACACCCGGCAGCGGAGGAGGCACTTCGTCTCCCTCGCCTCTCGGGAACCGCTCTGATGGCTCCCCTCGCTCCGCAGGGCACCGGCAGAAGCTGGAGGACCAGGCCAAGGCCTTCCCCGACCGCTTCGGGGACCTGGAGCGGGTGCGCATGCGGGTGACGCCGAGCATGCCCAGCCCCCGCGGCTCCCTCAGCACCACCAGCCACTTCAACAGCCAGGCCCAGGCCCCCATCCAAGGTACGCACGGCGGGGGCGGGGCGGGGGGGGGGGAGGCCTGGACTCTGGGCCCAAAGCCCATCCGGAGGCCGCTCACTGCCCATGGATGCTCTGGCCGTGGCCCTTCCTTCATTGGCACAGCCAGCATTCACTGACGCCGGTGCCTGGCCCCAGGACCAGCTCAGTCCCCCCGGGGAAATGGGCTTAATCTCCCAGTGCACCCATTGAAACCGGGCTGTGACTTGTCCGAGGAGCCTGTGGCAGAGGTGTCCCTGCTGAAGACTCCTCCCTCCTAGCTTCGGCTTTCTCGTTGAGAGTGGGGTGCCTCTGCCCAGGCTGGGGTCACGTTCAAGTGCTGTTCCTGCTCTTAGTGTTTGTAGACGGTAAAAGGGCGTTGCAGCCCCAGAGAGACACTCAGCATCCCCTCGGGAAGGCCCCGTGGCCCAGGGTCCCTGCCCAACAGGAAGGAGGAGAGAGGCCTCTGGGCCAAGGCCCCCAAAGGGGCGTCTATCCCCATCGCCTGGTGGATCTCAGGCAGGCCTTCCGGGGAGACGGGCTTGGCACATAGCAAGAGCTCCACACAGGGCTCATTCAGCCGCCATGCAGGAGGACGGAGAGTCACGCTTCCCCGGGCTCTGCCAGCCAGCGGCCCGGGCACAGAGGCTGGGGCACAGCTGCAGGCCTCGGCAGCACCGAGCAGAGGCAGGAGGCTGGCTGTCGCCAGGCACTGAGGGCGTCGTTCTTTCTCGGACCTCCAGGGCCTGGTTAGAACCCATCTGGCAGATCGGCGATGGTGGCGAGCTTGATATATCCCATAGCATAGAGAGAAAGCCCTCTGGCCTTAGAAGCTGGGCCCCGGGTCCAGCTGCCCCCAGCCTCTGGGCTAGCAAATGTGAGCCACGCGGCAGCTCTGAGGCCAGAGAAGGAAGGGCGGGGTGAGGCGCTGCAGGGCGGAGGCCTGACCTCAAGGGGCAGCGGGAGGTGCTCGGCGCTCGGGCCCTGCCCACCCCTGCCCGGAAGCTGTCTGAGCTCCCGTCTCCCTCAGGCCGGCGTCTGGCGGGGTGCAGGAGCCTAACACTCCAGGCCTTCCCCTGCCGGGGCAGAGCTGGGACTCTGGGGGGTGTTGAGGCCCAGCCAGGGAGCCCCGAATCCAGCAGGCGGGGGTGGATAGAGCCTTCCTGGCCAGCAGCTCCTGTGGATGGAGAGCCCGCCTCTCCCTCCCGCCGCGGTGTGGACGTGGCTGGGGAATCGGTGCCTTAGGCTCCCCACCCTCTGTCCAGCCCCAAAGGCCCGGGGCTGGCCAGGCAGCAGGTAGAAACCCTGCCTCCACCCTGAGGCTGGGAGGGGAGGTGGGGCCTGTGTGGGCGCAGCTGACCCGGTCCTTCCCCTGCTGCTGCACCCCAGAGGGCTCCCCAGCCCCTCGCTGACCCCCCAGCCCCTCACTGACCCCCCAGCACTGGGCTCAGGCCGCCCTCTCCCAGGCCTGGCCCCTCTGGCGTGAGCGGAAGGGCCCTTGACAACCAGGACAGGAAAGAAGTATGAACTTTGCAATCAGATGGGCCGGGCTCGGAACTCTGCCCCTGCCGGGCACGGGCTGTGTGTTCCTGGGCTAGTCACTTCACCTCTCTGAGCTCAGTTTTCCCGCCTGCGAAATGGGAGGAAGGAGGTGCCTGCCTCAGCGGGGTGTTGGCAGGGCTGGGTTTGGGGCCCTCTCACGGGCCCTCCCCTTCTGGTGGGGCCAGCCTCTGCCTCCTTCAGACTCCATCCTGGGGATCCCCTCAGGACACCCCGCCACCGCTCCTTGTGGTGCCCATTAATAGCTTTGACCCCCGGCTTTGGTCACTGGCAAGCAGAGCCGAGGCCCCATCCCCTCTGTACCCCGGCCCCAGGCCCCCCCAGCCGTGGCCGCCCACAATGGGGGCTTCTCACAGCTCAAAGGGCTCATTCAGCCGCCATGCAGCAGCTGGGGCAATTTGGAGAGAAAATAAACATTTCCTCCCAGTGTTGGGGTTGGCTGCTCGACAGCCAGCCAGCTCCGGTTTCCTGGGGCTACTGGGCGGGGCAGGGCTGGGGGCAGGAGCCTCAGGGGTCCTGAGGGCAGACACTTCCCCACCAGCCTGGGGGGGGGGTGCAGGAGGGGACCGAGGCCATCTGGGCAGGCCCTGCTCAGAGCCTGGCGCCCATGTGAACGCCGAGGGCCACGCACACCAGCCCACGTGCCCGCCTGAGGTTTCTGGGCTGCAGCCCTGCGGTCTCTTCCCAGGGTCCCTGTTTGGGGTCTTCCACTTGGAATGTGGGGTTCCTGTCCGTGGACAGCACTCACTTCCTGGGCTCAGAGCTGAAGGGCCAGCCTTGTGCTTGGCTATGTTTGGGTGCCAGGCAATGCCACTGAGACCTCGGGGGTCCTGAGGGTGGGGAGCTGGCACCTCTGGCCCCTTAGGCTTCAGGGTAGCACTAACCAGCCAGGGAACCCAGTGGGGAGGGAACCATTAAACCTCCCCCCCCCCCGGAATCTCCCTCTTGAGCAGGGAGCACCATTCCATCCTGACCCACAGAGGACAGAGCGAGCCCAGTGCTGGGGAGGCACTGGCGCGCTGAGCCGGGAAGACCCCGGAGCCCAGAGAACCTACAGGTCTCACCCGAGGCCCAGCACCTCGGGCAGATGTGGGCAGCAGGAGACCTGAGGGCGCCTGCAGCGGTCTGTCCTCAGCCCGGCCCCAGCCCAGTGGGGAGTGCCAACCCGGAGCTGCCCAGGGGCAGAGGCTGGTCCCCCTGAATCCTCTTTGGCGGGGTGGCATCGAGGGGTTGGGGCCAGACAGACTTTTCCTCGGGACGCTGCTGGGGGCTCACCCACCCCCCTGCTGCCGGAGTCACCCCGTGGCCAGGAAGTAAGGGAGGCTCAGGGTCAGGGGTCGCCTCTGCAGGGCCCTGAGGGGCCAGGTGTCCCGGGAGCCCCGAGCAGGAGTGTCACAGCACGACGGCGGCGCCAGCCCTCGGCAGGCCGCCACCCTGTGCCCACCCTGAGCACTCTGCGCGCAGTCACTGATCTAATTCCTGGGATCTGGTGCTGTCTCCACTTCTCATGTGGGAAGATTGAAACAGAGAGGTTAAGTGACTTGCCCAAGGACACACAGCAGGCTAGCGTCAGAAGCCGATTAGATGCCCAGCTGCAGAGACCACACAGTGAACCTTTGCGCTGTGCTGCCTCATGGATGGGACAGCTGCCTCTCAGACCCATCGTGGGGGTCAGGACTGGAGCCCCAGGACTTGGTGCCGGGTCCGGTGCTCTGTGTGACCCTTAGGCAAGTGCCTCAGCTTCTCTGGGCCTCAGGTTTCCTAGACTCAATCCCAGGGCCCCTGTGAATGCTGAGGTTTTGGGGGGTCTGTGAGTGCAAACGGAGGGGGCAGAGGCCCGGATGCGCTTGTCTTGGAGTCCAGTGAGGAGCCAAACTGGAGGAGCAGGGCAGGACCTGGGCCGGACGCTGGTGTCTCTGGCAAGGGCAGGGTCTAGGCCACCAAGCCCCTCTGGCTGCATCTCACTTCGCTGCCAAGGCAGATGCCGGCAGCCCGGAGATATAGGCCCAGGCTGAGGTGTGTGGGGCGGAGGGGAGGGGGGGGGGGAAGGTGTGCGGAGAATCGGGGGAGAGACACAGATCTCCTCTGGGCCTAACCCACACACACACACACACACACACACACACACACATAACCTCACCGAGCCCCACCGGGCAGGGGGGTGCGGGCCTGCCCAGCAGCCCAGCAACGCAGAGAGCAGAGGCCTCGTGAAGAGTTGGAGTCCTTTCTGCAGCCTCGAGGAAATGAATCTTCCTCTGTGCCTCAGTTTCCCTTTCTGTAAAAGCAGACTCCAGATCCCTCTCCCACAGGGCCGTTGCAGACCCTCTCCACACCCAGGCCAGGCCAGTACTGTCCCTACTGGGGGCCCACCTTCACCCCCTGACAGGCCCCCGCGCGGCCGGGCTGAGAGAGGATTCCAGAAGATAGAGCAGAGCCTCCCCCTTCTCCTCAGCCCAGGTTCCTGCCCACCTGCCTCCCCGGCAGGACCATTATCAGGTCAGGAGGGCTCCCGCCCCGAGCAGCCACGGCAGTAAGAGCAGAGCCAGAGCTGCTTTTTAAATTAAAAATTTGTAACATCCTATTATATATGATAAAGAGGTAATATGCAAATTGGCGCTCACACTCACAAGATGGCTGCCTACAGCCAGGCTGGCATGGGGGTTAGTGAGGGACCACCAAACAACTGAACAAGTAGGCGGCGTGGGGCGACCAGGCCGGTGGGGGGCCTGTGAGGGGTGACTAGGCCAGCAGGGGGCAGTTGGGGGCAACCAGGCTGGCGGGGGGGGGGGGGGCAGTTAGGGGCAATGAGGGTGGCGGGCCGGGGCGGGGGCAGTAAGGAGTGACCAGGCCATCAGGGAGGGGGCATTTGGGGCAACCTTGCCAGCAATGGGGGGAGGGGGAGGGGCAATTAGAGGTGACCAGGCTGGCAGCAAGGGCAGTTAGGGGCAATCAGGCCAGCACTCAGGGGCAGTGAGGGGTGATCAGGCCGGCACTGGGGGAAGGGCTATTAGAGGCATCAGGCAGGCAGGCAGGTGAGCATTTAGGAGCCAGCTGTCCAGGATTGTGAGAGGAGGTCTGACTGCTGGTTTAGGCCTGATCCCCAGGGAGTCCCTGATTGGAGAGGGTACAGGCTGAGCTGAGGGCACCCCCCCTGCCCCCGTGCCTCTAATTAGTTAATAAGATTGATACATTTCAGGGATACAACTTTATAACACATCTGTATACTCTATTGTGTGCTCACCACGCTGTGTTTGACCCCCTTAACCAAGGGCATTCTTAAGGAATCCTGCTGGGGCCCACCTGCGTAGCTCAGACCTATGAACCAGGAGGTCACAGTTCGATTCCCGGTCAGGGCACATGCCCAGGTTGCAGGCGCAATCCCCAGTGTGAGATGTGCAGGAAGCAGCTGATCGATGATTCTCTCTCTCTCTCCCTCTCTCTCCCTTTCCCTCTCTCTCTCTCCCTCTCTCTCTCCCTCTCTCTCTCCCTCTCTCTCCCTTTCCCTTTCTCTCTCCCTCTCTCTCTCCCTCTCTCTCCCTCCTTTCTGAAACCAATTAAAAACACCTATTAAAAAAGACATCTGCTGGGGGGTGGGGGGGTGTCCAGCTGCGACTGACCATCCCCTTTGCTGTCCCGCAGGCACCTCGGACCTGAACCCTTTCTCCGACCCCCGCCAGTTCGACCGCTCCTTCCCGGCGCTCCAGACCCTCACGGACAGCCGCTTCCCGGACCCCAGGATGCACTACCCGGGGACCATGTCGGCGGCCTTCCCCTACAGCGCCACGCCCTCGGGCACAAGCATCGGCAGCCTCAGCGTGGCCAGCATGCCCGCCACCAGCCGCTTCCACCCCACCTACCTCCCGCCGCCGTACCCGGGGGCCAGCCAGAACCAGAGCGGGCCCTTCCAGGCCAACCCGTCCCCGTACCACCTCTACTACGGCGCGTCCTCCGGCTCCTACCAGTTCTCCATGGTGGCCGGCAGCGGCGGCGGCGGCGACCGCTCGCCCACCCGCATGCTGGCCTCCTGCACCAGCAGCGCCGCCTCCGTGGCCACCGGCAACCTCATGAACCCCAGCCTGGGCGGCCAGAGCGACGGCGTGGAGGCCGACGGCAGCCACAGCAACTCGCCCACCGCCCTGAGCACGCCGGGCCGCATGGACGAGGCCGTGTGGAGGCCCTACTGACCGCCCGGGTCAGCGCGGACCGCTCCCGGCCGAGGCAGGGCCCGGCCACCTTCCGGACGGGCCTGGCCCGGCTCCGAGGCTCAGGCAGGAAGGAGACCCGGGCCCGTGGCCTTCACGGGCCCAGGTCCCACAGGTCCCGGTCCCGGAGCTGGTGGGAGGCTCCGAGAGCACCCAGCCCAGCCGTGTCTTTGTACAGAGGGGTGAGGACCGGCCCCTGGACCCCTACCCCGAGCCCAGATCCTGTCATCTCATCCCACTGCCCTGTGGGGAAAGCATCCTCCTGCCGTCTCCTGCCCTGGCGACTGGCTGTGCCTGTGCGGTCACCGGCCCGGGTCTCCGAGGACAGAGACCGTGTCTGCTCCAGAGAGAGGCAGCCTTGGCCCACAGTCTGGCTTCTTACCCACAGGGCCCTGGAGACGCCTCCCACCCTCACCCCCACCTCCAGCCCCACCCCCTCAGAGACCCTGCACCTCATGGGCCCAGCCCTTCCTTCGCATTTACACAAATCGAGGCAGAACTGGAAGGTCCCCCTCCTCAGAGGGGTACCCCTCACTGTACCCTCGCCCAAGGGCACAGGCTGCATGGACTCCCGTGTCTGAGTTCTCTGCTCCTAGGGAAAGGGCCTGCCCGATTCCAAAGAATCGCCGGCCCAGATGAGATGAGAGCACCCCCTAGCCAGTCCCCCCCCCCCCCAATTCCTCGCAGCTAAGCAGCCCCCTCCCCACCCAGCTGCCCGTGGCAGCAGGTTCCTGAAACCAGTGAAGGCACCTGCTCCGAGCACTTTCCCAGCCCAGGGTGCCCACCCAGCCACCGCGCTCTGGGTGGGGCCATGGGTCCCCCTTCACCCCCGGCTGGTCTCAGAATTGCCGTGTTTGGAGAGACAGAGGCCAGGCAGGTTCTCACAGAAAGCACGGGGGTGAGCTCAGAGAGCACTGTCTGTCCCGCTGGGCCCGGCCGGCCCAGCCGTGCACACCCCTCCCACCCGCCTCCTGGGAAGGCCCGGCCGAACCGCCCAGGCCCTGCCACAAACACTGCTCCACCGGCCGTGGTCCACAGCCGTCGTACGAAGGCTGGTTTTTAAAGTGATTTTAAAAAAGCTCCCAACGTTTTCAGACACGCGACCTCTTACAGGCAAAGCCCGTGGTTGTCACCACGTTCCCTTGGCAACACCCCCCCCCCCCGACATCCCCCAGCGGCCGGCCCTGGTGGGACCATGGGAGAGGCCGGTGAGATGCTGGAATCTCACACCCGTGGCTCTTGGACGTTTGTCCGAGCGGATGCTCTGGGTGTTGGTCCCAGTGGGTGGGCTGTGGGGGGTGAGCCGGGGCCCAGGGAAGGCGGGACAGAAGAGGGGGGGCACAGCGTGCCCGGCCCTCCCCGGCGCCCCTTCCGTGGGCAGGGGGAAAGCGAGCCTTGCCCCAGGTCGTGTGGACTCCCGCTCGGAGTTCTTCAGTTCTGGGAAGGCGAGTGGGAAAGGGTGAGAAGGCTCCAGGAGTCGGCAGCAGGTGGCTCTCTGCCATTGTTCCAGCCACATCCTCTGTGGACAGGAACTGTCCCCTGCAAGAGGCTCCTATGTGCCTGTCATGGCACCTGGCCTGCCCATCCACCCCCACTCCTTCCCCCTTTCATTCCCCCCCCCTTCACAAACACCCCCAGGGCAGGTTAGGAAGTCCTGGCGAGCTCACCAGACCCTCCCGCTGGGGCCCCTCCCTCCTACCCTCACTGGAAAACGCAGTCTCCATCTCTCCCAACGAGCTGCTGGGGTGTCCTGCTGACTCCCTCCACCCAGGGGCGCTCCCACCCCTTCTCAGGAAGCAGCTACAGCCGCCGTCTCCGTGGCTTCACTCCCGTCCTCGGCGGTGGACCTCGGGCCCGCGGGTGCCCAGTGCCCAGCACTTTGTAGTCCCCCCAGGTCACTGCCCCTTCCTGACCTCCAGGCCCCGGTCAAGGCCCGGACAGGACATACACGGCCCTCCCCCCACCCCCCGACTTAAAGGGACAGCAGCCATGCGGAGTCTTCAGGCCCACGGCGGGGTCCGGCCGCCTGGGCTTGTAGCCGCGGTCCCCGCGGACGAGGCTGCTTTAAAGTGGTGCTCTGGTGCGGGGAGCGCACGGGGACCGAGGGCGGCTGCCGCCTGGCCGTAGCCTGTCGGTGGGTGTGGGCCGCGGTGCCATGTTGCCGTGCCGTGGAGTCAGTACCTGCTGCCTTCGCATGGCCCATCGGACCGCCCGGAGCTGGGAAGAGGGTGGGAGGGGTGGAAACTGCTTTGCACTATAATTTGCTTGTACAGTAAACGTCTGTCTTCTGTACTATTTAACTGTAAGACGGAGTTTTGACTGGTTTTTTTTATAATGGAACTCAGGTGTGTGGGAGGGTCCCATGCCAGGCTCCTAGGGCTGTGTGCAGGGGTGAGGGAGGATGGAGACCTTCCGGCCCCCCACCCCACACACACACACAATGTGGCCAGGGAGGGTTGGGGCAGGGCAGGAACAGGACTGAGCCCAGTGCTGAGGAGGCCGCCAGCGCCCGGGCCTCCCTGCGTCCGCTCCGTCGGGAATGGCCACGGAGCCCGCCCCCCGCAGGAGCGGCCAGGGGGGCCTCCACCCCTTCGCCCTCTCAAGGGGCCCATGGTTTTTCTCGAAAGAATGGAAGAAACCACCCCTCCAGTGGGGGAGTGCAGAGGCAGGTGGAGCCTAACGCGGGCTCAGTGGGAGCCGCCCTGGGCCGGAGCTGGCAGGGACAGCGGCGGCTGAGCAGCGATCCACTGCACGCGAGCAGCTGGGTTGGCGCCCCCATTTTGCAGATGCAGAGACTGAGGTGCAAAGAGAAGGTGTCATCTGGCTTCACATCTCCCTGGCGTTGGGGCTGGCTAGGCCCGCAGCCTGCTGGGGGGGTGGGGGTGGGGGCTGTGGGTGTGGCGTGGGGACCTGCCTTGGCACCCTCACCGCCCTGCCAGCAGGAGGCCTGGCCCAGCAGGACCTGTGAGGGGGGGGCTGTCATAAAGCAGACCTTATTTTCAACTGAAAGTTCCCACTTCCAAAGCTCACCCCAAGATTTAGCCCTGTGGGGTTAGGTTGGTCTGCCGGAAACCTAGCACCCCACAGGAAGCTCCCCTTTCCCCAGCTGACCCCCCCCCCCCACACACACACCCCAGCACCCCTCTGCCCGAGGGACCAGCCGTGGCTGCGGAGTCCTCTCTGGGATGTGCTCTGAGCCGCCTGCCTGGGTGCGAGGGCTGGCCCTGGAGCCGCGTCTGCATCTGACACTGCTCCATCGGTGTGTGTCTGCGGCTCTGAGCAGGGATGACGGAGGTTATGAGGGACCACAGTCCACCCCTCCCCAGCCGGATGCCACAGCTGATGGGAGAGGAGCCGTGTTCTCCAGAGCCCACCCCCTTCACCCCACCAGGCGCAGACCAGCCCACCCCCTTCCTCGGAAACTGGCCCAGAGAGGACGGGGACTGCCCCCCACCCCCTTCCCCACTTCCTCCCGGGCCCCAGGTCCCAGGGCGTGAGGCCTGGGGGAAGCGCTGCAGTAACCACAGCGGCCTGCAGGTGGCAGCAGGCGGAGAGAGGGTCCCTCCGGACGGTGGGGAGCGGCTGCCTCAGTAGCAGCCGGAATTCCGCTCAGCCCAGGTGTCCCAGCTCAGCCGGAAGGCAGGGAAGGTCTTCAGCAGAAGGAGGTTTTTTTCCTCCAGTAGCTGCGTGTGTGTGTGTGTGTGTGTGTGTGTGTGTGTGTGTGTGTGTGAGTGTGTGTGTGCGTGGCTGTGTGTGTTTGTGTGTGGCTGTGTGTGAGTGTGTGTGTGTGTATAAGTATGTGTGGCTGTGAGTGTGTGTGAGTGTGTGTGAGTGTGTGTGAGTGTGTGTGTGTGTGTGTGTGAGTGTGTGTGTGCGTGGCTGTGTGTGTTTGTGTGTGGCTGTGTGTGAGTGTGTGTGATGTGTGTGTGTGTGTGTGTGTGTGTGAGTGTGTGTGGCTGTGGGGTGGAGAGGGCTCCTGTCCCTCTCGGAGCCTCCTTCGGATCTCACCGGGACCTGCTGTGCCCGGGCGGCAGGACGGCCAGCGCCGGCTCCCTCAGGCTGCTCAGGGCAGCGTGTCCTCCCCGGGGGGAGGCTGGACCCCGGCCCGGAGCTCAGGGGGAGGAGCTCAGACAGCAGCGGCCGCCGGTGCGGGGCCGTGGTCAGAGGCCCTCGGACCCGCTCTCCGGTTCAGAGGCTGGAGGAGGCGCTTCCATCTGGGCAGTGTCTGAGGTTTCTCCCGCCCCACGGCCCCCATCACCCCATCACCCCATCACCCTCATAACCCATTACCCCCATAACCCCATAACCCATCACCCCATAACCCCACAGCCCCCATCACCCCATCACCCCATCACCCTCATAACCCATCACCCCCATAACTCCACAGCCCCCATCACCCCATCACCCCATCACCCCCATGGCCCCCATCACCCCATCACCCCCATAACCCTCATCACCCCCATAACCCATCACCCCCATAACCCCACAGCCCCCATCACCCCATAACCCCCATGGCCCCCATCACCCCATCACCCCATAACCCACACGGCCCCCATCACCCCATCACCCCATCACCCTCATAACCCATCACTCCCATAACCCCACAGCCCCCATCACCCCATAACCCCATAACCCTCATAACCCATCACCCCCATAACCCCACAGCCCCCATCACCCCATAACCCCCACGGCCCCCATCACCCCCATCACTCCATAACCCTCATAATCCCCATAACCCCACAGCCCCATCACCCCCATAACTCCACGGCCCCCATCACCCCCATAACTCCACGGCCCCCATCACCCCCACGGCCCCCATCACCCCCACGGCCCCCATCACCCACAGCCCCCTGAGCCTCCATAGCCCCACCCCCCACCCCCCAGCCGTGGCCGTCCGGAGACAGACTGGGAGAGTGGCCCATGCCCGGGCTCCCAGGGGGACTCCATTCCCCGGGAGTGAAGTGGCCCCGGACGGACCTGCC